GCTGCAAAAGAGATCATTTGGATGAACAGACTGATTACTGGTGTTTCTTCCTTGAAACAAGTGCCAACCATCTATGTAGACAACAGTGTTGCAGTAAGACTAGCTTAGAACCCTAAGTTTCATAGCAAGCACATAAGTCTAAAACATTTTTTCATAGGTGAGAAAGTTCTGGAAGGTAAATTCGATGTGCAGCAGATTTCATCAGAAATGCAAGTTGCAGATTTGTTTGTAGAGACATTAGGATTTTTTGGAAGCAGGCAAGATGAAAAATTAGCAAACGCCTTCGCCGGGAATCGAACCACGGACCCCTGGAGTACCGGCCCAACGTGCAGAACCACTACACCACGAACCACCATTTACAAACATATAAGAGTAAAGAAACTGAGATCACTGAGCCGGGTAACAGAGTGGATATATATATAAATATATTTATATACGTTTGGTGCGCCGATTGCAACCCAAAATACGAGGTGCACATCTACATGTTATAAGCAGTCCTATATACAAAATTTCCAACTTTCTGAGGCTACTCGTTTTGAGTTATGCGAGATACTTACGTAACGTACATACGTTCCGTACAGACGCCACGAAAAAGTTTTCTTCTTCAAATTCTTTTAAAGCATTTTTTATAATTTTTTTGGAGGAAAAGAGTGTTTTATTTATTCTGTCCTTTAGATGTCACGGAAATACATCGTTAAATTGCATTTGAAAGAGGTCAAAATGGGATATTTTCGTTGAAATATGCTGCCTGAAACTTTTCGTGATTACAATACTTCCTGTTTACTTCGTACAAGGAAGTAACAAGGTACTGTAGTCTTTTATTTTATATATTTTTTTGGCAACATCTCAGAATGTACTTCAACTTCTACTTTAAGAAGCTCAGTTGAGCATTTTGTTGTTGACTTTGTCATATAACTTAACTTGCATTAAAAGCATGGATTAGAAAAACTAAGATTCTTCTTCAGTTTTACCATATTTAATCTTAAAATGCAATAGGGAGCAGTGTTACGGTTTTTGTATTTAGTTAGCTATTTTGGGTAAAAATGTAGTTGAATTTTTTTTTTTTTTTTTTTTTTTTTTTTTTTTCCCGTGTAATGCAGCGCGTGACGAGTTTTAAGAGAAAGTTGGGCTGAAAAAGTAAAAATAAAGCAGCACGCGCATTTAATAAATAGATACCTCGTAATTTACATTTGAATTGAAAGAATGCAATTGTGTGTTAGCTGTAACTGTGTAATCCTACTCCTTTACTTTCCAGAAACCTCGAGAAATTACGAGGAGCTTCTCGTGACTGAATAAAAAGTTGGTTAATCTTCCATAATCGGGGTGAGCGCCAAACTTGACGAGAGATTTTTTATTTGGTGCGATTTTGATCTGTCTGTGGTTTCCGGCTGTATGTTTTCTTGTGGCAAACCTAGAGCTTTATTTCGATGCTTGTAATGAGTGCGAGTTTAGTGTAGGCACATGATTCTTTTTAATTTAATTTTGAAATATTGTTTGTTTTTAAAAGTTTTACTATTTAATATTTGCAAGAGGTAAAGCTGTTGTTGGTAGAAGAATGTTGGATTTCAGGTGACGTGAAGTTTATAATTTATGAAGATTTTTCATTTAATTTTATTTAGTTAATGTTTTCCGGGTCAGTTAATTATTTTTTTTTTTTAGTTTTGTTTCTTGCATGTGGCAATCGAAAAACGTGGAATGTTTAAAGTTTTGAACGAAAGTTGTTTAGTGGGTTGAATTCCACGACTATAGTAACTTGTATAGTGAATCTTTATATTATGGTAACTTATCGAAAATATGGCGACCAACCCTGCTACAGCAACCTGCTAGTTTTGTTTTGGACGCCATTTTGTTTTCACGAAGTAAAGGCATGTTTTTTTTTTTTACTTAACATTTTTTCCAACAATCTGCTAGCCGAATTACGCTTATACTAGAACGTTTATGGAACAAAAATGCTTAATCATGACGAAGATTAGGTTCGAAATTGGGAGAAAGTGCAGAATCGCAAACTGCTTACCGCGTTTTTAAGAATTGCACATACACGGTATCCATGTACGTCGACCTATTTTCACTTAAAAAGTCAAAGAAAATTGACAAAAGTCCAATTCTTCTTACTCTTGTAAAAAGATCCAAACAAATAAGTGGGCGATTCTGCACCTTAACAGCGAAATTGTTTCTAAGTGCTTATTAGCTAAAATCACTATCGGAATTTTCTGGAAAATGTCGCATTACATGTCTTATGATCTCTCATTTATCTGAGACAAAATAATTCGAACTGTGTACTTCTCAGATTATTGCTAAAGTCCTAGCTAGTAACCTTTATCGCCTTACCAAAATGTCGCCAAACTACCTGTTACCATATTCTGAAGATTAGCCCTTGTATATTTTAGTGACTTTATGATGCGTCCGTTGTTAGTGAAGGCAGTATTTACACGGTTGACAATTTTGGAGTTCAAGGGGAAGTGTTATACAATTTATTCTTTTATTAGTTATTATATTATTTTATCATGAATTACATAGATAGGACTATGTTTTACTTGCAAAGCTGATGGACTTTTTACTCATCTAGTATTTTATCATCTTATTTTACTATTCTGTTTACATAAAATAACGGCGTTTCACTACTGCAAAAATTAAAAGTTACTATTCTGTTTACGTTTAAAAATCACATCTTAGTGCTCTCATTGCCGCCAAATTTTAAAGACCAAAATAGTTTGGCGCCAACTTACTCCGGTTGTAGAAGATTGGCCAAAAAGCTTATAAAAGCCGGAGAAAAACATCTCATTTGAGTTATTTACTTATTTTTGTTGTTAAATGTAACGAATTCACGGTGAGATTGCATTAGCTTTCTGTGCAGTTTGGATTGATTTCTATTTAACATTTTAGTAGTTTAAAATATAACTACCTGTGTGATATTGTACAAATATCTATTCAGCATTTTGTTTTATTTCTTGTGATAAGAAAACATTTTATTAAGTTTTCATCAAACTTGTGCATTCATTATATTACGAACCCAAATGCACGCAACATAATTTAAAAATAAATTTAATTCTTGCTGTGCATAAATCGAGTAGACTTTTCTCGGATGTCTATATTATTATTAACTGAAGAAAGATTATGTGCTAGAGAAATACTTATTATCTTCTACATTTTAAAACTATGTAATTGCAATATTTATATAATTTCAGGAAAAGTTTAAATAACGTTTCTTTCAGTAGAAAGTGCGTTTGTGTTTTCTGCATGTGCCTCCAAATACTCTTTTAGTTCATCGCAAATTAAGATAACTATAAATTTTGGCAGTCTAAAATAGGCTATTGAAACATCTTCTGGAAGAGCAAGAGCATCGTCATGTTTTCTATTAATTCGCCACCGATCTACGACCGCGTCCTTCATATAAATACGAAACAATGCATACGAAGTCATCATCTACTTAAAACGTCAACTGCACAAGCCTGATTGACGACGCGGCAACATTTTCTCCCACGCCTTCCACAACTTCCGTACTCGCAGAATATGGGATGTAGAGCAGACCCGTTTTTCACTAGCAGCCCACAAATTGCAGCCGACTCTCGCAGCGTAGAATAGGCGTCCAGATTTGAAATCGTTGCATAGAACATGATCGATTTTTGACGCATGCGTAGATCCTTAAAATTGTTGCCCTACCAAAAAGTCGGCCGAGAAAATCGCTTCGTGTAGTGAGGCCTTAACAGCGATTTTCTCCTCATTTTGGAATAAATTATAAACATAGCTCTTATTTCGTTGGAGCGAAACTCAAATTTTTCAACTAATAGACTTCTGTAGAGAAAATGTATTGTTGAAGGACACAAGTAATGTAAATTTTAAAAATAAAAAAATGAGGGTTTCTCTTATTTTGCTAAGTTTTGTCGCCATTACTTTATATATTCAAATATTTTCTATTCGGGGTGAAAATGATTTTATCTCCCTCCAAGAAAAGTTCCAAAAACTATTATTGATGCCATGTCATAGATACTAGATAAAAATATTCAGAAACTACTTGAAACTATGGTCGAACTTATCGAAAAAATTTAGAAAGCAAAATCTTCCGTCGAGAAATTACGGGCCGGAATTAAAGCAGCACAGACTCATTCATTACCTTCGCCGAAAGTGGAAATTAATTAGGTGACGAAGTTCACAGCTTTTACGACAACTGCTACACCAGCGATTGTAACTCAGTGGTAAAGAACAGAACAGGTTTTTCTCCGAACATCGAGATCGTGGGTTCGATACCCCATCTTAATTTTGGACTTTCTGCAAGGACTTTTTTAATTTTTTTTTTTTTTTTTTTTTTTTTTTTTTTTTTGCAAGGACTTTTTGATTTCGTGTCTCGATCACTAAATTCGAACTGCATGACTTAAAAGTCACTTTTTATTTTTTCGCCTACGGGTGTGGTGTTTATTGAATTTTAACACCTTTCTTTTTATTTTTCAAATGGTCTTTGGCACGTATTTTAGGTCTACTGGTGAAAACGTTTTAGTAGTTGCGTACCAGCTGAAAAGAAAGTCACAAACTCAGTTTTGTGTTAATAGTAGATGTAAACAAATTACAGCCAAATTTAATACAATAGTGCTAACTTTTATTAGCTGATTAACTGCTAGAGTCGTATGATTATATTTTTAGACTGTATTACTTATTTAATTATGTTGATATTAGTTTTTTAATGTTCAATAAAATGCTGCTTAAGACTTTTCCCCTTTATGATATTTCTTATTTGCAATTTTTGCACTTAAATTACACTGCTGCTTTCTTAATGTAGTAATTTTTATTCTTTCTTACTACTTTTGACTTGTGTGGTTTGATTTTCATAACATTATTGTCTATTTATTAAGTAGTAAAGGTTTTGATTTAAAGCACAGTAGTTACTTATATTTTCTGAAACATGGTTATTTTATTATTTCAAAATTTAAGTGCACAAATAAAAGTGCCAGAAAATGAAATTTAAAAAAAGAAAGGGGGAGTAATCTACACACTCAGTACACAAAGGAAAAGCATGTTTTTTTTTAAATTTTGCTGCAAACTAAGATTGCTAACTAAACTGCAGATTTGCAAATGTCATCTGCGTTAGTAGTAAGCGGAGGTAACCGGGCGGCGGAAGTGACGTCACAGGAAAGGGGCGTGACCTCCGCCATTTTGAATTTCTCCGGAAGTGACGACACCAGCGCCATCTTGTATCACGTGTTGGAATGACATCATTAAACTTTCGTTTTGATTCTGTGGCAACGATCTTTTCAAAGTTGTTTATTTTTTGTGGCAACGACACTATTTTTTATGTTTGTGGCAACGAACTCTTGAACCACGTGTTTGGAATGACATCATCTATTTCTTGTTGCGACATGTTGCTTTACAAAATGGCGTCTGCCGTATCACACCTTTGTATGCCTCCGCTGAGGTGTATGGATACTTTTCTGTGAACCAATCAGATTCTTTGAAATATGACCTCACCGTTTCTTAACCAATCACCGTTCAGATGAAATAAAGAGTTCCTGCCCGATATAAGGCTATCCCGAGTAACGTTCCGCATTTCTTTCCTGCTGTCGCCTTGAGTGTACGCACATATTTTGCTTGGACTATCATTGTTAATTTCATCAGATTTTTGTTTCTTCATCGTTTTGAACATGAATCCTGGACAGCCACGAAACAACAACGCTGCAGAGGTAAGTTACTTTTCGAAAACATACTATTTTTTAGAGTGTTAATCTTTTAAAAATTTATTTGTGAAAGTTCAATGTGGGCTTAATTTGCCTTTTCTTTTTCAGATGGAAAATCTATTGGAGAAAGAATCCATGCCTTTGAATGATAAAGTGTTGAGCCAATGATGTTCCAAGAGAATCAGATAGCTCTTGTGCCAAAAGAAAAGCAGAAGAAACAAGCCATTTCGAGAAAAAAGTACGTATTTGTAAAAAAGGTTCATATGTTAAAGTTGATATTTTTATGTTACCTCATTTTTTGTATATGTTTTTTGTCTACCAAATGACTGACAATTTTTTTTCTTTCAGCGTAAAGGACTTTTTACTGAAGACACTATTCCAGAGGAGCTCACTCACATGGGAGACAATGTCTTTGTGGGACCCAGCATTTACAAGGGAAAAGTGACTGTGCACATCCGAGAGTATGCCAAATATGGTAAAGCTTACTATCCGACAAGACGAGGAGTAAATTTTGAGCCATGGTGTTTGAATGTTCTCGCAACCAACATGACAGTGGAGGAACCAGACCTGCTGACACTGAATCTGGAGTTGCCCAAGAACTTTGTAGTCACATATAAAGATTCCCACTTCACTTTGAAGCAACTCTCTTCGACAGGAGATGAAAAAAGTAGCCTCAGCATTACAACGACGCAGTGGGAAGAACTGATGACCCACTTTAGCCGTATCAGCGATATTGTCACCAACCTCGTTTATCAAAACATGAACTTTTGTGAAGCCTACGAAAGCGTATCCGACGAACCTGTCAGAGAGGAAAATCTACCCCAATCCTTTGACATTTCTATGGGAAGAGCGCGACTTCAAACCATTCTAAAGATGTCGCTTGAAGAGCTTCTTAATCAACAAGACGAACTGAAATATCCCCAGCTGAAAGACTGTGAAGAACTCGTTCATAAAACAGAAACTGTGAATGCCATTGCTCTGAGATTCAATGCTGTTGACATCGCCAGGCAATTTTATGGAAACATTTGGGGTGAAGAACCCTATTTAATGTTAGTGAAAACTGCTCACTACATTACCAAGGACTTTTTAAAATCTGTGTGTTTAAACCATGTACTCGATGAAGTAAGAAAACACTTTTGTACTATCAATGGTGTCTTAGGTATTGAATACTATGAATATTTGTAAAATAATTAGGATGCTCAATAAATGTTATTTTATTTTACAACGATCTCATGACTGTCTCCAGGTTCAGACCTTATTTAAAAGAATTAATCTGTAATGATTACTTACATAAATTTTAAAAATACCTATTGAATACAAACCTATTGATTTTTATAGAATATAAATATGGTTATTCTTAAACATATATATCATTACTTGTTCAACCTTTGAGATGTTAAGTAGCATTCATTTTTCTCTCTCTTGTTTTTTAGGCCTATTTCTAAAATCTTTATATAGGTGAAACTAGGGTATTTTTTTCTGTTCTAGTTAAATATATATAATATCAGTGTACGTTTAGATCATAACAACTGTTGCAATGAACGCAGCTCTGTCTCAGACCTATCGGGATCCACAGGTCCCCGCAAGTTTCGGGGGTGTTGCTGCTTTGCATCGTGCTTTAAAAGGTCGCGTAAAAACAAAAGACATCCAGAAATGGTTGCAAACCAAGGATTCTTATACTTTGCACAAGCCTTTGAGGCACAAGTTTCCCAGGAACAGAGTCATCGTAGGAGGCTTAAACGAGCAATTTCAATCTGATTTAGTGGATATGCAATCCCTGGCCTCTTTTAATGATGGATATAAATATTTGCTGACCTGTATAGATATCCTTTCGAAATACGCTTGGGCTATCCCTCTCAAAGATAAAACATCTCGTGTCCATCCAATCCGCTTTCGAAAAGATATTTTCGGAACGTACACCCGAATCATTACAAACAGATGCAGGGAAAGAGTTTACCAATAAACAAGTTTCAAAATTTTTTGAAAAAGAGAAACGTTCGCTTTTTCACGACACATAATACAACCAAAGCTTCTGTCGTAGAACGATTTAATCGAACTCTAAAAACAAAAATGTGGAAATACTTTACCGAAATGAATACACGAAAGTACATTGATGTGATTGATAAATTGATATCCAGTTATAACCATACATGGCATCGTAGTATTAAGACAGAACCTGTATCCGTTACATTACAAAATCAAGAAAAATTTGGAAAACGCTGTATAGGTCAGCAACCAGTACAAAACCCTATTTCTTCAGATTTAAAGATTGGAGACACGGTACGCATCAGCCGAGAAAAAATGCTCTTTGAGAAAGGATACGAACAAAATTGGACACGAGAAATTTTTACAATCTATAAAATTATTCGACGGATTCCTGTTGTCTATAAACTGAAAGATCTAGCAGGAGAAGTTATACAAGGAACTTTTTACAAACAAGAACTTCAAAAGGTTTCGGACTCTGGTTATTATCCCGTAGAAAAAGTTTTAAAAAAGAGGAAACGTCGCGGGAAAATAGAATATTTTGTGAAATTTCAGGGGTACCCCGAAAGCTTCAATGCTTGGGTGGATGATGTGAGAAGGGTATAAAAGGCCCGTACATTCTGCTTATCTGTCATTTGAACGAAACATGTCTTTCTTTATCACACTGATCAGCGACAGCTCCATGCGTTTTTTTTCCAGACAACAAAATATCACAATTTACCACTCAGCTTCCTACTCCGATGGATTTAAATAGTCAGTGGGAGTTATCTCTTGTGGACTTTATTTACCCTCACACATGGTATAACGTCCGAAAAGACAATAATTTATTTGGATTTGATTTGGGTGATGGAAAATTGGAAGGTCGAAGAGTGCCTCCAGGATGTTATGAAACGATACCAGATTTATTAAAAGCCATGAAAATACCTTCCCATAAAAATAAGATTGAATTCAGTTATCATCCTGTTACGAAAAAAGTGACCATTAAGACCGACGAAAACTGCAAAGTCATTCTTCACGAAGGATTAGCGGAGCTTCTAGGGTTCGAGCCGGGTGTTTACAAAGGATTGGAACAAAGTCCTTTTGTAGCCGATCCCAAAGTATCTTTTCCTGTCATGTATGTGTATTGCGATCTCGTAGAACCTCAAATTGTGGGAGATGTACAAGCCCCGTTGTTAAAAATTGTCACCGTAGAAGGAAATGACGGAGACATCATAAACGCTCATTACCCCCGGCCCTTTTACTTGCCAGTTATCCGTCAACATTTTCAGACTATACATATTGACATATTGACATAAGACTTCACTCTGGAGATTTAGTACCATTCGAAAGAGGCAAAGTATTTCTTGTGTTGCATTTTCGTCTGAGACAAATTCTATAAAAGAAGCCTTCATCTGCAAATTGATTTCATTTGGATTGTGTATGCAAGATTAGAAGCATCAAACATGCGGGTGCCTTATACGTGTTGCACGAAAAAATTTGAAGATTATTATTTAGCTCAAACTGGAAATGGATTACCTTACTATCAAGGAACCATTTTACAGAAAGGTTATGGTATTGGTGGATTTTTTGCAAAGCTGTTTCGCAGTGCTATGCCGTTTTTTGATGAGTGGAGCCAAAACAGTCGGAAAAGAAGCTTTGCGGACTGGAACACAAATTGCAAACGACGTATTGTCGGGAGAAAATTTTAAAGTCTCCCTCAAAACCAGATCTAAAGAAGCTGGCAAAAAATTAGCGAGGAAAAGCAGTTCAGAAAGCAGACGAGATGATTGGTCACGGAAGGTTTAAAAGGAAGCGCAAAACCCCCAAACACTTCATTTCGTCTAAAGCCAGGAAGGTGCAACGACGTGATATTTTTGACTCGTAATGGCTTTTCTGTTAAAAGATTCTCCGGAATGCGCAAAATCCGAATTGGATTTATTTTCGTTACCTCCCACACAAACAGTTATCGAAAAAGGTCAGTGGGTTGAATTTCATCCATTAGCCAATGTATCGGAAGGAAGTCCTGTCGAGTTCAATGTTTCTGGAAGCGGAGACGACTACCTAGACTTATCACAGACACAACTCTACGTCAAAGTGAAAATTTTAAAAAATGATGGCAAGCCAATCACGGCTGAAAGTAAAGTGGGACCTGTCAATCTCTTTTTACATTCTATGTTTTCTCAAGTGGATATTAGCTTAAATGAAAGACTCGTTTCCACCAGTAATAACACGTATCCTTACAGAGCCATGATAGAAAAATTATTGAATCATGGTTTTGATACGAAAACGTCTCAACTGTCATCAGAATTGTTTTTCAAAGATACAGCAGGACGTCTGAACGTTTTTGATATTCAAGACACTCAGCCGAATGAAGGATTCAACCAACGAGCAGAATTGTTTAAACTGAGTGCTTCGGTCGATATGATTGGCCGATTGCACTTGGATATGTTTCATCAGGAAAGACTTTTGCTGAATATGGTGGATATGAAAATTAAACTCATACGCAGCAAACCAGAATTTTGTTTATTGGGCGAAGGTGAATTTAAAGTTTTACTCGAACAAGCTTCATTGTTTGTAAGAAAAGTGAGAGTTAGCCCTGGTGTTGTGCTAGGACATGCCAAAAGCCTAGAAAAATCAACAGCCAAATATCCCATTAATAGAGTGCTCTGCAAAGCCTATTCCATTCCCACTGGAAATATGAGTTTTATTCAAGACAATATTTTCATAGGTCAAATGCCTAATCGTATTGTGGTGGCATGCGTCGACAATGATGCCTTTAACGGAAACTATAAAAAGTCTCCTTTTGAATTCAAGCATTATAATATGAACTTTATCGGCGTTTATGTGGACGGTCAACCGGTACCTCATAATCCTCTTCAGCCTAATTTTGACAAAAATCATTTCATACGAGCTTATCAGAATTTATTTATGAATGCAGACGACAGAGGACTTTACCTTTCAAGATCAGAATTTTCAAAAGGATATTCCTTATTTCGCTTCGACCTGTCACCTGACCTTTGTGATGGCTCTCATTTAAATCTAGTTCGACACAGCAACTTAAGATTAGAAATAAAATTTGGGACTCCCTTACAACAAACTGTTTCGTTATTAGTGTACGCTGAATTTGAAAATTTGATAGAAATCAATAAAGCTCGAAATATTCTGTACGATTTTGGAAACTGATGAATTCATCACAGATTCATCAAATCTTATCTCAAGATCCTATTTCTTTGAGATATTATGCGGGTGTTTTTTCCTTGTGATAAAAATACCTGCGATTCAAAGTTTTCCCTGTGCACTGGTGCTCAATACGGATAAACATGATGAAAAAGGAACTCATTGGCTAGCTGTCTACATTGCAGACAAACAGACTCTGGAATTTTTTGACTCTTATGGACTCCCGCCTGAAGTATATGGAAAAGATATCACATCCTTTGTCAAGAAATATCGTCATGTTTGCTGGAACAAGATTTCGCTTCAGAGTTTAACTTCTAATGTATGTGGACATTATTGTATTTATTTCATTATTAAACGCTGTCAAGGACTCTGTATGGAACTCATTGTATCACCCTTAGATGGGAAGAATCATGATTTCCAAATATTTCAATTTGTCAAAAAAAGATATGGTGTAAACATGATTTTTAAAAAATAAAGTTGTTTTAATTTGTAAAAATGTCTCTTGTGTTTCTTGTTTCTACACTTATTTAAACAAAATGAATAAATGTCTTATGCAAAAGGATTTTCGATTAAAGTATAAAAGTCAGTGTTTTCTTAACATGCTGTCATTTCCAAAAATGGAACTGCCCAAGTTCGTACATCCTTCTACTTGTCTTCTGAGCGGACCTACCGGTTCGGGAAAAAACATTTTTGTGAAGAAATTGATAGATCATAAAATGTTCCATCCCATGCCGACCAATATTATTTATTGCTACGGAAGTTATCAACCTCTTTTTAATTCCATGAAAAACGTAAATTTTGAAGAAGGATTACCATCTAACCTGCAGACTCTTCAAAATGCTTTAATTATCATAGACGATTTAATGTCTGAATTAGCAAGTGATACTCGCTTAAGCAAACTTTTTACAAAAGGAAGTCATCACCGAAACCTTTCAGTCGTTTTTATAACACAAAATCTTTTTCACCAAGGCAAGGAGATGAGAAATATTCATTTAAATTCCCATTACCTTGTCCTATACAAAAATCCTAGAGATAAAAGTCAAATTATGCATTTAGCTAGACAAATGTTCCCCGGAAAAGTAAAGGCCTTTCAAGAAATTTTTCAGGATGCTACTTCAACTCCATTTAGCTACTTGTTGATTGATTTACGACCTGAAACAAGTGAAACGCTTCGCCTTCGTACAGGCATCTTTCCTGGGGATAAATACTATGTCTACCAGCCCCGATAGTTCATTTCAGTTTGAGACGTCGAATGGCTAACATGTCTTCTCCCATCGTGATCGATTTCGAAGGTTTTCAATGGATGCCTCATTGCTACGTTGTTAAAGAATTAGCCTTGTATTCTGTGCATGAAGGATATCACAGTTGCTGGTCATTTTTACCTCCTCAACCTTGGAAAACATTATCACGATCTCAGCAAAAGTGTTTTGCTTGGGTCACAAGAAATCGTCATCACATGAATTGGAGTGAGGGTGTATTACCTTATACTCATCTTCGTATTATTTTGCAATATTTGTCATCTATTTATTCTGTCATATACGTGAAAGGATTAGAAAAGAAATTATTTTTAGAAAATTTATTAGGTAGAGACATCATAAATCTAGACTGTCCTAAGATAGAGAATTTAAAAAAGAAAAGTTCTTTAACATGTTCGATTCATGCAAAAGGATTTAATTGCTGTGCTTTAACCAAAGCGGCTGCATTTGCTACCTATATAAAAGAAAGTGTGCAGGAAGAAGAGTTCATTTGTCATCAGCATGTCTCATCTGAAGGATGTGGATTATCTAAAACTATTAGGAAAAAGTCGAATAAAAGCAGCTGTACTGAAAAAGTGTCCGAATCATCTCATAAAATCAGTTTGTGAGTGTGTTTTAAATCTTCTAAAAGGAAACGTACCCATCACCAAACGGGTCAAAAATCGACTCGCCCCTTTTAAAAGAACTTTAAGAAAACTAGCGGACAAAAAAGTACCTCTTTTTAAGAAAAGACGTCTTTTGGTTCAAAAAGGTGACGGTTTCCTATCTTTCCTGATTCCTGCAGCAGTCAGTGTCTTATCCTCCCTTATCCATGGAACACAGTAAGAAATTTGCGCTGGTACCCCTGGATCGTATGCAGCAATTTGAAGATGAACATTTGAGTGATTTAGATACCCAAATTCAAAACATCTTAAAAAAGAAAATGGACGATGAAGAAAAGTCTAAATTGTACATCCAGGTTCTGCAAAAGTATGTTACATTTCCTCATGTGAACACTTCCGAAGAACAACCGCCTGAACAACGTTCTGAGAAAGATATAGAAAAAGAAATTATGCAAACAGTTCCTGTGAAGCAGAAAAGAACGGCACAGAAAATAATAGATTTTCTAAAAGAGCATCAGATTTCCTGGACACAGAATAAAGAACTCATTCTAGATGATCATGTGTTTTCTGGCTCTGACATTGTTCAGTTGATAAACTTTCTGTTGAGAAATAGAACTCAAAAACCTTTTGCCTTTGAACAGTTTAAAAATGTACTGAATGTTAACAACTTTCCTCAAGACTTTGTCAAAAACAAACATTTAATGAATGTAAAAACTATGTATGCTAGACCTAAAAGAAACGCATCTTCCAAACTATGGCTGAAATTGTAATGATACGTGAATAAATGTAATGGCTGATCATTGGTGTTGTATTTCTTTCTAATTAAGTTAACATAATTTTTGAAAATAAAATATGACAATTATTTTCTAGGAAAAACTTACCTTTCATGAAATCCTTTCAAATAAGAAAAACACAATTTTATCATTCAAACTTCTGTTTATTTTTTTTTCTAAATAAGTTTTCTTTTATACACATACAAATGCATGATTCTGCATATACACATATATATACATATATATATATATATTTACATACAAAATTTCATTTTCAGATAAGGTTCTAACATAAACATAAAAAGTTCTTCTTCAATATACTAATGACCATACGGCAATGTGCTCAAGTCTTTTTGAATTACCCGTTTGTTAAACAATTCTTGAGTTTTGGCGGTAACCTTTCTTTTTCGCCAGCTTGACTTCCTCCGTTACCCCACGTTCCGACAAGAGCTCGCTTCGTCGTCTGTGTGGGTACACGGAAGTCTGCAGTTGAAGAAGGGCACAAGTCCGACACAGGGGGAACATCAGCTTCTTCCGGCACCGATAGGGCAGTACCGGAAGATACAGATTCCGTGGAGGAATCACACGGCATTGGATAATCCAAAGTAATTTTCTACATCTCCCAAAGCTTTCCGTGATGATTGTTGGATGTCCCACAGGGTAGACGCAATATTTGTTCACCTGTGAAATAAAACAAAAAGTCAAAAAAACATACATAAAAATCAGAAAAAACACATCATCCATGAAAAGGTTTTAAAATAATAAAAAAGTACGAACCCATGGATAGAGGGATGTGAAATCCACATATTTAGCGTCTCCCTCGTGGAACAATTTGAGGGCATTGGTCCGTCCTCCGAAAAATGACTCGCGAGGATTGAGCCGGTCCCTCAGATGGTGTTGCTCCAGGAAAGCTTGGAGATCTGGATTTTCCTCTTTTTCTCTCTGAAACTCATGCTCCCACATTTCTATGACGTGGAAACCCTGGGCGCGAAGCTTTCGTGTGGTCTCTTCTGTTTTCTCCCTCAACGTTGCCATGGAAACCCCTTTTAGTGGATGAATGACATCACCGTCATAACACGAACTACACCCGTGGAAGAAACAGCCCTAAAATAATACAAATATATTAATAGTGTTCCACATGTAAATTAAACATTAAAAGTGTAAAATCATTAAAAAGAATCATATAGAAAATAATGGTTACTTTTTACACCTGAAACTGATAGACGGTTTGTGTTGCTTGGCAGAAACCGTCTACCGAGATTCCGGCGATTCTGTGCTCTCCGGAACCCGTTCAACGCATGTTGAATGGCAATGCCTTCCGAAGCAGCAACAAAGTCCAACCACCGGATCGAATCAGGGCTGTAATTCGTTGAGTTGACGTAGCCGTGTGTGGGCACCATGGCAATCGTGTTGGGCTGAATGTGGCCACTCCGATACGTTGCCATACAGGCTGACGCAATGGTCACGTATCTGAAAAGAAATTAAAAGGATGGTATGAGACACTAAACATAACATAATTGTAAACATGATTAGTATAAGAAAATGAGAAAATAACTTACTGGAATGGATCCACACCCGCCACATCCAAAAACTGGGCTCGAAACTCCAGACAACAGCGGCGAAGAATATCCACGTCCGATCTATGAATATAAAAAGAAAATGTTAAATATACGAAACATAAATATAAAATTAAAGCAAGAAAAAAGGAAAAAAAATACCTGCAATAGGCCAGCATCTCATCTTGAAAAGTTAAACACATCCCCCTTGTGTTCTTCATGCCAGGACAGAAATGCTTGTCGGGCTGAAGTGCTCATGGTATCCGGGCTGTAGTAGTGGGGGTCAGGCAGCGGTCCGACATAACTCTGGTTTTCCCTCGAGTTAAAGAGATGAGGGAAGTATCCTTTCTTTAACTCGCTGAGACCGAAGCACCCCGGTAGTTTGGCCAACGCCATCGGTAAAAAGTTTAACGAGTCTATGACCCGAATGTTGAGACTGGGGTGTCTTACACTCATGATCATAGACCCGTTAGGGATCACCTCCGGCGCTGTGCCTTGCTCCAGGAGCCAGGCCATCACGAACTGTCCGTCAAACCTGTAAGTAAAAAAAACATGAATAATATTGAAAAAATAGTCGTACTTAAAAAGCATGCAAACTATGGTATTTTTAACTTACCCTTTCATGTTGTGTGCCACGGCGGTGAAGCCCTTGTGCTCTGTAGAGAACAGCCAGGCGCAGAAGTTTCGGCATGCCGCGTATCCCGGAAAAACACTTTTTTCTGTGCCGTCGGCATACTGAGCCACCGCGAAATTTACGAGATGCTCCCCCGAAGACTGGTCCGTTTCAAAGTCAAAAAAGATGAACTTATTCATCGGACTTCTTCGGAGCAACACGTCGCAAATAACAACGGTGCTCAGCAGCCACGACAAACTGGCCGCAAGACGGACATTTGGTGGTGCCACACCTTATGCAGACTCTTTAGGGCAATCCCGCCTCCGGAATCACTTGGCAGCATTCCCTGCACTGGTATACCTGTAACGACAATTTCAAAATTTTTAAACATAACATTTTGATAAAATTTAAATTATTTAACGATAAATTTGCATATATATTGATTTAGATAATAATTTTCAAAACACTTACCCTATCGCAAAGTGAAAACTCTTGATTCCCAGTGACGGCTTTGTGTGCTTCGAAGCAGGCTTCGGAGCGGCAGAGACGGTCGCAATCCTGGCATCGTTGGGGCTGGCCTGGAAAGCAGTCGGTCCTCAAGGCATATGGGACAGGCATTGGCACATCTATGGCTTTCAGGCATTTGGTAGGCCTTTTCACATGTCGTGCAATAATGGTTGCTGCCGAAAAATCCTTTCAGGGATTTGATGACATCGTAATGTCCATCGTGAAGCCACAAATTGATCCGTTGAGGCCCTCTCTTTCCTTTATAGACCACCTAAAACATAGACAAACAATTTTCTCTTAAAATTAATCTTGAAACTATTTATAAATCCATTTTTAACATCTAAAAATTACCTGCACATTTAATTTTTCCAAGTTAATTATACATGGAAATGAATGCATGCATAAAACAAATTAACAAAAATAAAAATTCGCCATGCATTCAGTTTTACAAGTTAAAGTTTTAACATTTAAATGATCAGAAATATATGCCTAAATGTTCACTTTTTGCTATATTTTTAACATAGAAACAAATTGCCTTTGTGCATACATGTAAATAAAATCTAAAAAGTTAAAGTATTCTAAAAATAAAAATTTTTAAAAGTGAAAGTTTTAACGAATTGCATACATAAAATAAGAAATTAATCTAACAATTTTAAGTAAACTAAAATCCTATGCATTAATTTTTACAAGGTATATTTTTTAACATCGAAGCGAACTGCATACATTCATGGATTCTATGCGTGAATATGCATAAAATATAATCTTAAAAGTTAAGTAGTCTAAAAATTCACCAGCCATTTTTATAAGGCATATTTTTAACGTCTAAAGAAATGCATGCATAAAATATAAATTTTATGTTAAATGTAAAATTAATCTAAAAATTTTTCAAGTTATGTTTTTAGCATCTAAATAAATTTCATACATAAAAATAATCTAAAAAATGTAACACAATCTAGAAAATTTACTACTATTCAGTATTTCAAGT